ATTACATGAGCAATATCTTAGCAAATTGAAAAGATAAGAGGCTCTTATTTTATATTCTAGCTTGTCATTATTGGTAATTAGAGTTTGAAATTCGTACGAAACTACAGACTTAGTTGTTTCACTTCACAAACATCTAATTTGAACCAGTGCTCCATTCAACATACCACGCGACACACAAAAATTGATGTTTAACTGTGTTTCTGTAATACTTACCTCTAAATTAAGAAATTGAGTAAGGTATAACACTAAAATTTGAATTATATTCTACAGTTTGATATCAAACTTTAATGACATAAATTCATGAAATAGTAGTTCAATAAGATTTTGAATGTGAGTCAACAAATGAGATGATATGGTCTTTCACTCGTGACCCATCACGAAAGGGTTAATTGATCGGTCATTAGATTAAAATACCAAATGCTAAGGTTAATTCTCTTCTCTGAACTATTGATTCTGCAAACACCATTTTAGTCCTATTTTGACTGGTGTGTATTTTTTAGTATTCGGTGTAGTCTTGCATATCACATAAATAAAAATATAATCCTAACGTTTTCAACAGTTGTTTACTCAAAAATATTTTGCACCTGATATTTTAACATTACATGATATTTTGATAAGACAAAGTTAAAAGATGTTCTATTTGCCATTTCTGCTCATCCTGAAATATAGGTTTATATTTGCTAAGAAACTGTCATCCCTTGGAAATATAATAGTTCATGTCTTGTTTTCTGTATGATTTTCCTTTTGTGTTGGTAGCTTTATTAGAGCCTTTGTTACCATCCTCTTGATGTTTCAACATATGATCTGAACAATTAGTAAAGTTTAGCTTTGAACATAACCAGAGACATTGCTAGGCACTGGCACATGGGTCCTGTACCCTGATTCTATTTGACAGTGTCCCAAATTCCCAGTTGGTGTCTTGAAAAATCAGAATAGAAAATCATGGTCAATATTATACTGAAACAATGAAAATTCCTGCTTCCACGGACCCGAGCCCCGAATCTAGTACGTAGTGATGCCTCTGAACATAAATAGTCAGTGGTTAAAAATGATTAAGTAGAAGAGATGCTAATCTGAGTAATCACTATGTTAATATTGAGTACCTAAAGTGCTTCTAGAAGTAATTTATGGTTTGTTGACCTATCAGCTAGATCAAGGGTAAGCAAAGGATTCTAATTCAATATTTACAACACACTGGAACAAGCCACAGATCTGAGATTTTTTTGTGATTTTTAATATTTTCTTTGTTCTTTTTTTATACACAATTTATAGCTGGAAGTGATATTTGCTTTAATCAAAAAAATAAAGTATGAAAAAACATATTGACAAAAATCAAGCAAGTTCAAAGGTGAAAGTTATATTTTTAATGTTTTTAAAAAAAGTGTCTCACAACAATATTTTGGAAATTTCATAACCTAAAAAAAACTGCATAAATAATAAATCCAATTTATTAATTTTTTTTGCAAGTAGAAACTAGATACTATTAAGATAGCTTTTTTAAGTTTCATGCAACTTGGTTAAGTATTTATGAAAAAGAAAAATCAAGGGGTATCATTGACACCCCTGTGGTCCAGAAAAGATTAATCATTTGACTGGGTCACCCCATGATATATTGAATATATGGGCTTCAACTTATTTTATAATTAGAAACATAAATCAGAGTTAGTTGATGTTAGAATAATTTGAAGACTTGTAATAAAATGCCTGTCTACTCCAAAGTAATTGGATTTTTTAGGCAATACAATCCAAGTGTAAAGACATGTTTGAATGAAAAACACAATTAGATAAACATTTTTGAAAAAATTAAATATAGATTTAATTAAAGAAATAATAGGCATTTAAAATGGTTAGCAATCTTAAGTTCAAAAATTCATGTTGTATTCATCTATGGGTTTATGATTTGTTGACAAAAAAAAACTGTGTCTTATGTCTGTGGGAGCTAAACATGAAAAAGTAGTAACATGAGCATCTGTGACTGCCATTTTTTTGAAATTAAAGTTGTAGATTTTTCTTGAGTATGTAGCATTTATCAATCATGAATTATTTTTTAATTTCTTGAAATTCTCAATGATTTCAGGTATATATACCAGTAAACACTAGGAAACTTGTTTCTCATTATTCAAAAAAGTACTACATTTGGCTGTAACTGCTGAAAAGTGCAAAAAATATAGTGAATCATTTGGTTTTTTTATGTTATTTTAGTGCACATTATTTAAGGAACTATTTTTACCTTTAGTTATATAACCATACAATACAATAATGTTTGTATGTTTAAAAAAATGTTGTTTTTCCTTTTCTAAAAATTTTGGGAAGAAATAACAAATCTTTGTTTATGCACAGTTTACCTATTGGTAGTTGAGTAACAGTAATAATAGGCACATTTTTACCTATTGGTGGTGAGTAACAGTAATAATACCTGCTTTCAATTTCTCTTTTCAGCTCGTGTGTTTCGATCTGCTCCTCAATTTGGTTTTACCTTGCTCACATATGAAATTTTACAGCGTCTGTTTTATGTTGATTTTGGTGGAAGGTAAGTTTTATACAATACAGGGTGATTATAAAGAAAACTTTTTATTTAATATGATTATATTTTAACTACTTTTCCTAGTGGAATTTAAAATTTGGTAGAGGCACATTAAGAAAAATAAAGTTTCTTGAGGAATCTTTGGACGTGATAAATCATGTTTCGAAAACTGTCACAGAAGGTGTTCAGTATGCTTTCATTATTCTCATACAGCATATCATGTGAATCTCCAAACAGAGCTGCTGTATCCTCAGTTCTGAACAAAGTTTATTGATATGCATACTGACAAGCATTTTGTTCAGATCATCATTAAGATAGTAAAAGTAATGCTAGTGAGTCAGTGAGAAGAGCAGTTTAGGTAGCACCCTGTGCTATTCTCAAACTTTCCAGAATGGAAGTTGAGTCTTAATGTTCCTTTTTGTAACATTTTGTTAAATGTTAATTTTATTTTTAAGTCACCCTATATTTTCACATACCAATTTTTTTAATACTTGTTATGTTAATGTTAGTTTCCCTTTATAATTGTATCTCTGTATCATTCAGTACCTGTATCTATCTGTTTATATGTCCATCTATCTATACTGAAATGATACAATACTTCACATGGATAACAGTAAAAAATTTGGCTGGTTTAATGATTTAAGTCATTTTTCAGTATTCATCCATTGAAAACATATTTCTCTGTACAGGGAGAATAAGAGATCTTCATTTAAAAAAATTGAATTAAAAGAGTATAACTGAAATTGTATTCCCAGAATAATAAAAGTTATCTCGAAAAAATGACTTGTAAGATAAGCTGTACTGGAAACAGGGGTGAAGAATTATTTCTATTTCTGTAACATCTCTATCACAAATTGTATTTAATAGTTTGATCACTACAATTTTTATTGACCTAGTATACTAGGAAGAAATTCTGTTATTCATCTTGTTGTCATGGAATTGAAGTGTATGAAATTTAATTACCTACTGTTATTTTCATTTGAAGGAAAATTAAAGGTCATTATCTACCATTATTTCTTTTTTTTTTCCTAAGTACAAAATTGGATAAAGAGAATTGTTGGCTTATTTTATTTTCCACAATTATGGATTAAGTTATAGCTTACAAGCAAATATTTCAACTTCAATAAATACAATTAACCCAACCTTTCCTTATTTTAAATCAGGGATTCTGAAATTTTTCAATCTGACCTTCCCTCTTATTAAAGAAAAAAAAAAAAGAGAGCTAGTACACTAATACACCTTTATGAATAACATTTCTTTTAAGTTATTCCTTAACTATAAAACTGTTACAAAACGTATAGAATTCTAAAGTGAAATTCTACATGTGGTTTAGTGACCAAGACTGTGAACCTGAGTATTTCTAGTTTGCATCCATTTGCTGTAAAAATGCTCTATATTTTGGAGCCATGGGTGCTTTAAAAGAGTTATGGTGAAAATCATCTCTTCTGTCAGATGAATTGTGTTGTTGACTAGCTGCCTTTCCTCAAGTCTGTCATGTTTGTTGACTAGCTGCCTTTCCTCAAGTCTGTCATGTTTGTTGACTAGCTGCCTTTCCTCAAGTCTGTCATGTTGTTGACTAGCTGCCTTTCCTCAGGTCTGTCGGGTTAAAAATTCGGGATGGCTATGCAAAGATAGCCATTCTTGTAGTTTTGCTATAAAATCTAGAATGACACAAAAAAGAAAGGAAAACAAATGCTTTCTTTACATACAATCAGACAGCAAAGCAGCACAGAGATTAAGAAAGATGAAGTAACTGTTTTTAAAAATAATAGTTTTAAAAAATTAATTCTGAGAGATTTGTTGCACTTCTTTAAATCCCTTTTTCATTATGAGAAACTGAATGCATGTTCTAAACCTTCTATACTTTCTTTCTTCATGTTTATTTAGAATAATGTAGTAGAAAGTGCATCTTTATCAAGTCTTGTTTATTATTAAACATGTTTAAAGCTTTTCAGACATTGTTACCGTAGAACAGGTCACCTAATTCCAAAACCAGTGACTAGAAGACCAGCTGAAATATTGTAGATAAAGAAGATTGTGTTATATAAGTGTTGTGTCTACTAAACAGCAGTGAATTTTGTGGAAGTCTGTCAGAAGTTTTTACTTGGACAGTTGTTGCAACAAAATTATTGTCATTTTATAAATTCACTCAGAGAAATTAGTGTCTCATTATTAGGGGATATGTCTTGACTGTCAGTTATTTGTCATTTTTTATCCAGTATTTGTAAGCGGTATCTCAATTAACTGATATGTTTAACCTCTTTTATGGAAAGAATATTCTAAAAAGTCTCAAAGGTCCACTGTATTTGTGTTTTTATTTAATAAACACTCAACTTTCATTTAAAATCACTTAAATTGTTTGTATATACAAGAAAAGTTCAACATTTCTTTTGAAAAAAAAAACTACCTTCACTCTCTGTAGGGCTGGCTATGCCCCTTACAAGTACAACAAACTTAATATTAGTTGTAATTTTAAAGTCGTAGCTTAAATATCTAATTTCTTCCTGTTATCACTGTCTTTGACTTAAAAATTTGCAGTTATAATCTACTGAAAAAAATCCTTATGATCTACCCCATAGAATTAACGTTTTCGGTTCACAGAGTTAAATTTTTCTTCCCTCTTTCATGTCTCGAAGGAATTACAAGTTGACAGTCCACAGTTTAAACTTACTAGCTGTAGTTGCATAAGATGTACAGATACATTACGATTTAGTGACTTAGGTCAATTTAGTTCTTACGTTATAATGTTATTTTCTTTTTTCAAGTTTTAGTAGGTGTGTTGTGTTGTTAACTTCTGAACAAAGCTAGCTCCCTATATACATAAGAACTAATAAATGAAAGTGGTCAATATAAAAATAATCATGTTCATTCCAATTTTTTTTTTGCCAACAGACCTCCCCAAGGTTCACAGGTAACAGTACCAATCCATCCTACGGAGCAACGTTCTGACAATCCAGACCATATCGGTGGCTACAAGCTGGCAACGGCTATGTTTGCTGGAATAGAGTCAAAATTTGGGCTCTTTCTTCCCAAGTTTAGAAGTAATGAAACTTTAAACCACACATAATTCTGAATATAAACATTAGGATTCTAAGGTTATATCTTTCAACAGTTTATTATGATCTTTGTCTCTAGTAGTTCTGTGCTAGGCAGTATTGTTTAATTCTATACGAATAATTCCTTTTTATGCAGCAAATATTAATGCAAAACTGGCACAGAAGTACTGTTCTGTCAGATTTTTTTAAATAATTATTTAGAAACATTTTAGCAGTGTATAGAGTGAAGGAAAATAGAAAAACACTAGCTTGACAGAGTGCTCAAGAAAAAGGATAAAGCACTGGATAAAACATTGTAAAATAGTGTTGTTAATCTTCTAATAAAAAAACTTTCTGACTTTCCAATTACCATTTTTAGTTATGTGAGTATAAAGTTGCTTTAAGAATTTTGTTATTTACTGTTGGTTATGAATTATCATAGGTGACATGTTGCTCTTTAAAACCTACTGCCATAATTATGGTTTTGAACCAGTGCCATGGTCTTTTTTTTATTATTATTATTTATTCAGTGCCAGTGTTCAAAGTACTCTTTGTGATAAGAAAACAACTGTAATTAAAAGGAATATGGTTTGGAATAGGCCATGGAGTGTTTCTGTGTTCCTTCAGAAAGTTGAGTTAGAAAACTGTTTTATCAACATATGAACACTTTTTGTGTAAATGTTACATTGGAGTTTTGAGTGATTAATGGTATGATGTACAAGGATATTGTTTACTTTTGAATCATTACTGAAAGAAAAGAACATCTGTCTTACTTATAAGAGAAAGTATGTCTTCACATAAAGCTTTTTACAGATGTAAAAAATATATATTTTGTAGTATTTTGCTCATTAGAATAATGGTATGATATTTGAGACTTGTAATATCTTAAAAATGATTTTTTGTTCTGGTCTAAACAAACTTGACATGTAGTTGAAAACATCTTTTAGAAATAACTTTAACTTAATTCTGTTTTTTTTTTACTAAAACCGAAAATATTTTATCAGACATTAAGAACTCCTTTGAATGAAACCATATGCTGAAAAGAAAATTTCAAGAGAACTTGTAACTACCTAACCATGACAAATTTTAAAACTATTTAATACTGGTTATTACCTAACTTTTTATTTCTTTTTTTCTAGTTTTGTATACTTTTTTTTTCCTAGAAGAATTCTTAACCCCTATCCATGACAAAAAATTTTCATTTTTAACTATTTAATGTAAGTTTTTCCTGTTTTAATATATAAAAGCAGCACTATCAAATATTGGTATGTTTAGTTTAGATTCATAGCAACCTTTCTGTGTTTCAGTTTGAACATACTGCACTTACTCTTCACAACTGTTGTTATAAATAAACGTAAATAATGAATATCGGTACAGCTAATATATTCAATATTATACAGAAGTACTTTTGTACAAAAGAAAACCTCTGTAATGTGGAAAACGTTCTAATTCTTTAACTTAATTATTTCTAACTGATAAGTATCAGTACTTTTTAGTATGTTCTTTAATTGTATGACTTAAGTAATTTTCTTTGAATTACAAAACTTTTTGACACATTAAAATATTGTACTTGAGAAAATATTTATCAAGTAATGAGATTGCATATCTAAGTGCTGTGTGTGTGTATGTATATGTGTTTATCATTGGTTTCCTTACAAGAAATACAGTAACTATAAAGCTTTATGCTTTTTTTACACTGTTGTTTAAAAACTATACTAGTCATTGCATTTGTTATGTTTTACTGTATAATCATTGAATAATTTATTTCAGTATGAAAAGCTTTCATTGATGTTGTGATCTTATATACAAGTGTTATTTATAGGTAGACCTTTTGGAAGTATATTTAAAACACAGGTTAACTATTAGGTGGTTCAGTTAATATGTTGATCTCATTCCTGTTGTTTGTGACCAGTAACTTGTAATGGCTGTAGATGATAAAGTGAAGAATTTTCTTATAGGTAATATCTCTTGTATACTTTCAACCAATGCAGTCTGCATAGTACAAAAAGTGCAGTAGTTGTTCCTGTTTTATAAAAAGACTCGAGTACTTTTTTTTTGTTCTGTACAAAGTGGGTGGTTGTTTTGTGGGACTCAACCTGTTAAGAATTTTTGAAATATATGTGTTTATTCTTAGGAACTTCTATAACGTTAATATTGGTGTTTTTTGTATCCATGGGATGTTTCATTTTAATTATAAGTCAAACATGCTTTGCGACTGATTTCAAACTTTTTTGTAATTTCATTAGTTTATGAACTATTTGAAAAAGTATGTTTTATGTGCAACCCCTTCATTGTTGAATAAATATATACAAATATTGTAGAAGAAAATGTATTTGCAACCATATGTTAAGATGACAGTCTATTTTGTAGCAGCTGAGAATAATATATCCTTTTAATTTGTTTATTATCTGGTTTTATGTATGAAACACTTTAATACTCATTCATTCCACCAAACAGGAATAGTGTTCCTTGTAAGTAAACTGTGTTATGTTTAATATTTGAACCATACTTATCTAGTCAAAAAAATTGTCCAAACGTGTTCTGAACGTTCCAGTGAGTTATGGCGTCTTAAGGTTATCTTACTGAATTTGTACAACGTTCTCTAATTTGAAATAAAATTAAAGCATTACACAATTTGCATATTTGTATTTCGATTGAAATGTGTATGTATACGTATGTGTAAAAAATATTGTAATCTGATACAAAGAAAACTATAGTTATCTTTCTTATGTTATATGTATTTCTTTTTTATATATTTTTTAATGTACACAGTATTTGTTTTTCTATTTATTTATTTATTTATATGGAATAAGTTTTCCGGCATTGTTTTTTATTTTAAATATACTCCATAAGTTAAGTTTTTTGTGAACAACAATAGGGTGAGTTTGAAAGTATTAGTAGTAAGTTTAAATTCCTTAAAATAACTCGTACTTTTGTAGTAATATTACAAAAATTATCGCCCAATTTTAAAATTGACTTTGACATGTTAACTAACTTCGTAATTCCAATACTTTATAAATTGATTCTACATTCCAAAGGTTTGTGATCCTTCACTGATTATCTAAGTTAGGTCCAGTGAGGACAAGAAATTAAATTATGTATTAATTAAAATATGAAACAGATTGCAACTGGGAATATGCCCTGTGTGTGTGATTTTTACTGAATGTTTTTATTTGAACATTTCAGAGTACCCAATTGTTGTATTCATATAATTTTTGTTCGTTGAATTTTTAAAATTCAAGAAATAACTGAACTTAAAAAAATGTTGTTATTATAAAAATGTGAAGGTCTCCACTGTAAAGTCAGATTGATAGTAAATTTTCTTTAAGAGCACGTTATTGCTATTTCCTCTTATACTTGATAATAGTGTGATTCATATTTTTATTTATTTATTTTTTATTTGTATCATTTGAGAAGATCAGTAAGTGTTATGAATAACATGTACACAAGTTGAGAAATAAAATAATTTATGGTCAGATGTTGATGTGCTAGAAATACTTATCTTAGTATTTAAAAAAGTAGACTGCGTAATTAACCATAGAATTACTAGTGAGGAATCAACACTTTTTTAAACTATTAAGGCACCAAATTTCTTGTGGATCCATGGCTTTGTTTTCTATGTGCTTTGTATATAAAATGAGTGATTACACCCAAAACTGTTCAGTGTGCTCGATGGCCGCTCACTGCTCTGTTTGAACCCCATTAGCACGTGAACGGGTATATAAGCTAGACGATAATTTGAGGAATAAATAAAAGCGGAACTATGAATTTAAGAGTTTATAAAAAAAAATTGTAGCCTAATGTTATTTTAATACATATATTCGGCCTCTTGGTTTCCACTGCTTTGCTAGCTTTTAGCATTCAGACAGTAACTTTTAAATTCTTGTACTGCATATTTAAATAGCTTTTCCGATAAACGTTTGTCTGTCACTGTACAGCCTAGCCGATGAATTCTGGCCTCATATGGCAAATATGAGATCCGAAGAATCTTACATTCCTTGATTTGTATTGGGTAAAATACGAGGAATGTGGGGGGGGGGATAAGTTCGGTCTTTTTTTCCCCCCCTAAATGTTTAATGTGAACACTTGCAAAAGGTGCTTTATTTATCGAGACTTTACTAATTGAATACAAAATGCTTCTGTGAATATAAACTATAAGTAATAAACATCAGCAATTAATTTTTTTCTTCGCCAAATGCTGCAGGCATTCATTGGAACTGCTGTTAGTTTATTTCTTGATGATTGATAATACAGCAGTTAAAAGTGCGGAGAACAGAACATATTAAAACGTAGCGAATAAGACGTAGACTGTGTCTTGATGAAATAAATATTCCTGCTCCTTATTTGCTCTAACCCTACAAAGCTTTAGATTATTTAAATTGAAATATAAATTGTGTATCTTCTAATAAATATTACCGTTCAAATCTTGTATTTCAAATTTGTTAATGAATTTCCGCTGCTATTTTCATTAGAATAAAACTGTGGTCTGCTTTCTAATTAAAACGTTGAGACAGTCGTGTTTACAGATACCTCTCCCCCCACTGTTTGGAATTGAACAGGTTTTTTTAACGAATATATCTACTGGCGTTTTCCTTGATGTCACTTTATATTCCAGAAGAGATGCAGTCTTTGAAGACAGCTTGAAATCAGATGAGATTAGTCACAAAACGTTTATTACTAGGTCCATCGGATTTTAAAATTGTCACATATCTTGATCGTTCTTAGGCTAGACATGTTCGGTGCTCGAACTGTGATACTGACGGTTCGTGTTTCTCGGACCGTTTCACTGTGGAGGAGGTATAGGAGTGATGGTCAAGTTCCACTATCCTGTCAGAAAAGAGATAGCAGTGGGTGCTGTTGACTAGTTGCCTTCCTTTAAGTCTATCAATTGAAAATTACTGATGGCTGTGTAGGTAGCCCTTACGTAACTTTGCATTAAATTCTGAAATGAACAAACCTCGCGCAATATAATTTGAAAAATTTGTTATGATTTTAGAGTGTCATCCTTTAAGTATTTAATGACAATAAAAGTACTTCCCACGTGATCTGCTAGTGATGGTTGGTTATAATGTATTATTGTATAAATTATTCTTCAAAAACTACGAAATGTTGCAGTCAAGACGCCCACAATTTAAGTTCAAAAGTTAAGGAAAAGTAATATTAATAATCGTGAGAGCAGTATTATGCAAAGTCTGACGTAAACTTTCTTTTATATGTTCGTGTGCTAATTTTACAAACTTAGTAATTTTAATCTTCGAAAGCTTAAATGTTTGTACACTAATTAACCAGTAAAACAAACCATAGATTCAGCGATTTTTTTTAAGCTGTTCGAAATTTAGCAGTGAGCCAGTGTTCCAACGATCAAATTGAAATTCAGCTCTGGACGGGAGAATAGCAATGGGTTACTTTTTTAGCATACACTTTTACTAAAGGTTAACAAGTGTTCACATGATACACCACAGATCAAAAGTCGTGCTGTGTTATACATCAAATTGAATTTCTAGTCACGTTTAGCAGACCTGCGTAGGATTCAGTTTCACTAATGAAGTCAACTACTAGACGAATTCCAGGTGAGAAGCATACGTTTTGAATTATACATGTTAGAAAATAGTAGCACACTTTGTTTAATGTGGTTTGAAGACATTAAATTGTTTTTCATATTAACAATTTATTTAACAGAATAATAGATGTAATAAGAATCATCCAATATTTAATAACATTTTGATCCGCCTACAAACCAAAATATAAAAAAAAACGTAAATGTCCAACATGGATACACTCCATACCCAACTTTTATTATCCACGGAATTATTACAGAAAGTAATTAAATTATAACTCTTATAAGAACCTGTAAAATTGAAAGAATGGTACGATACGCTTTTACAACGTTTTTTTTTTCTGAAATTTGCATAAGGGCTAAGATATATGACTAACCGTCCCTAATTTAACTGATAAACCAGAGAGAAGAGAACTAGTCCAGAACCTGCCGCAATATCATGGGTTATTCTAATCGAATAGTTGCATTTGATAGTCACTCTTATAACACACCCAAGGTACAAAGTGAAGAGATCATTTCTTCGGTAACGGGATGCGAACCACGGACCCTCAAATTTACGATCCAACATGCTGACTACCTATGCAATGAAACATCTTTAAGTGTGGGCACGTAATGTACTCACTTTGGCAATCAAATGGGGAAGAATGGATAATCCCTCTAATGTTTCTTACTTGTGTTTGAGCGTGGCTCAGTGGTTAGCGTGCCGGACTGAGGATCTGAGGTTTCGCCACAAAACATTATCGCTCCGCATTTTGAGAGTGACGATGAAATCCCACTGTTCTGTCTGACACTAGGAGCCAAAGAGTTTACGATGAGTGCTATTCACTAACTGCCTTCCCTCTAGTCTATTACTTCAAAATTAGGAAAGGCTAGCGCAAACAGCCTCTGTGTTGCTTTGCGCGAAGTTCAACAAACAGACAAAAAACCTAATTTATCAAACAGAATTTTTCTGATGTACGTGAGATATTTACCATTTTGATACCAAACTTATTTACTTTTTTTGCATTCAGAAACCTGGAAGTCTTTGAAAATGGTTTGGTTAGAAGTTCGCGCAAATCTACACAAGGGCTATCTGCGCTAGCCGTTTCTAATTTAGCAGTGAAAGACTAGAGGAAAGGCAGCTAGTCATCACCTCCCACCGCCAACTCTTGGGCTACTCTTTTATCAACGAATAGTGGGATTAACCGTAACATTATAACGCTCCAACGACTGAAAGGGCGAAAATGTTTGGTGGGTGCCCTAACCACCTGGCGCTTATATTTGGAATAAAAACTAAAATTCACACAGAAAAGGAATCTATCACAACGTCAGAAGTGCCCCTTTTTAAAAATAAAATTACATTTCGTGAACCGTTTACTTCAACTATTTATCCTTATATACTGAAATCATAAAAGCATTGGCAGGAAAAAAAAATACATTTGCATACTAGTAATACAAGTATTTCATATTAGATTCTTTGTAGCCGTTTTTTCCACCTTTATCTTGCCCAACATAATAGAGGGTCTGGCATGGCCAGGTGGTTAGGGCGTTTGACTCGCAATCTGAAGGCCGCAGGTTCGAATCCCCGTCGTACCAAACATGCTCGTCCTTTCAGCATTAGGGGCATTATAAGGTGACCGTCAATCCCACTATTGGTTGGTAAAAGAGTTGGCGGTGGGTGGTGATGACTAGCTGCCTTCCCTCTGGTCTTTCACTGTTAAAATAGGGATGGCTAGCGCAGATAGCCTTCGTATAGTTTTGGGCAAAATTCAAACCAACATGATAGAACCGTTAAATTTCAGTTGTTTTTGTTTCTTCTTTAGAGTAATTCATAATCGGTTCTTTTGCAAGAAGAATATTCAATTCCAATATTTTATGAGCCATGAGTTTGATAAACTTTTTCTTTATTTGTCCAGTATGAATACGAGCGCAATATTCGATTTTAATCGCTTTACAGAATGAGTTATATGATAAGGAGTTGCATAAAAAAAAAGACAATAAACAATTTTATCTGATTTTGAAACTTAGATTCATGATGTTAGAAAAACACGTAGATTCAAGAAATATTGATAGAAATGAATGAAACCCTGTAATCTGAGCGTTATCCCAGTTTGCCCTTGAAGAAGAAAGGTCCACTTTTCGAAAGCGGTCAGGTTATAGGGTTTTTATTCATTAGAGTTATTAAGTAGGATTACATGATTATAAGCTCTTTTACTTTCATCTATTCAAACTAGTTTGCGTTATAGAAAAGTTTTAAGACTTGGAAGTTACGTATAAAACAATTCACAATATGTATACAATTATTTGGGCTACATTATTTTCAACAGGGCCGGGTGGTAAGGGCGCTTGACTCGCAATCTGAGGGTCGCGGGTTCGAATTCCCGTCCCATCAAATATGTTCGCCCTTTCAGCCGTAGGAGCGTTATAATGTAACGGTCAATCCCACTGTTCGTTAGTAAAACAGTAGCCCAAGAGTTGATGATGACTAGTTCTAGTCTTACACTGCTAAATTAGTGACGGCTAGCGCAGATAGTCCTCGTGTAGCTTTGCGCGAAATTCAAACCAATCAACTATTAATTTCAATACAGCTGAATTATCCAAGGCTTCAAATAATATTCAATTACAATTTTTTTTACATCTTTTATACGAATAAAATGTTCAAAAATATAGCAGCTTTGAAAATATTGTTATGAGACTTCTTTTCTTCTAAAGACCTTTAGCGTTTGTTATTACAGCATAAAGCATAAAAGAAGGTCATCCGACAGCATTCAAAAACTATAATTATCATCTCGATAATAGCTAATTACACTTTTCTTCACTCTGTTTTGTACTCCATTCAGCACGTTGTGCCAAAATTATCATTAATGACGTGGATGTAGGTAGTACGGCTCAATTAATTAAAGAGATCATGCGAAAACTTTTGCACGTTATGGACCCAGTCG